AGGGTGGGAAGTATCAAGTCAATGAATCCTTGATATTTCTACCTGTCAAACCGAGCAGTCGTTTCTCCTTGTCGCCTGAGTCTGTCCTCATTCTGGTTAGCACGCACGGGCGGTACATTTCCACTGTTCTCCGATAATTCAGTGTTTTTCGCGTTTGAAAAGTTTCCCCCTGTCCTGGCGCAAACACCACAGGAAAAAAAACAACTCCATTGCGCAAGCATGAACAGCATGGGCTGTCCAGATGTGGTGAATCAAAAGCATCTGGTGTGCGTTGGGTGATTGCACGGTCGCCTCGAAGGTCAGTCATCCGAGGTTCGAACTCCGGCACAGCCATGGATACGAGAACCATCATTCAGCTGTAGCACCCTTTCGGTGCCTAGCTGCCGCACCCCCGAGGGCTGGGACACTGTCAGGTTTTCCAAGCCTAGACAGGGGAAGTCGAGAGGTAGAGGTTGGGTTCGCATCTCATCTCCAACCACCGAGCCATCCCGCCATAGATATGCACTGCTGATGAGATTCAGTAAGAGCGAAACTCGACCGACAAGACAACTGATATCTCGAGAGGTAGAGGTTGGGTTCGAACCACATCTCCAACCACCGAGCCATCCCGCCATAGATATGCACTGCTGATGAGATTCAGTAAGAGCGAAACTCGATCGACAAGACCCTTTAACTGATATTCAACACTGATCTAGTCCGTTAACATGATGACGTCTTGGTGATTGGTTCTCTGTCTGTCTTCAAACCTGGTCAATTCGGTCCTCTCCGCAGTTGGTCTAATGAAATTTCTGTGTCAAAGGCGAATGTTTCCCAGTTAAAAACTACCGATTCTGTACCAAGCCCTTCTAAAACGAAATAGCCCTTCCGTATCTGAATTCTCAAGGAGGTTAGTGCTACCGAAACGAATCGTTGGAGGCCACAAAGCATCTGCCATGGTGTGAGAACCGAGGAACGCGCGAGAAACCGAAACGTTGCATACCGAGTCAGTTGCATGGACTGTGACAAATAATATAGTGTACAGACTGCAAGTAAGCTTGCCGTACGGATGAAGGAACACAACGCAACGTAAACGTCGTAGCTCCCGGAAGTACTAGATGGAGGAGGGGATTCCTAGGAGCATGGTACTCTGCAGAAGACTCGATCAACAGGCACGTCCAAATGGACTCTGTCTATTCACCGTCCTGAGCGAGGGACCACAAAATCGATGGCAACACTAAATCAGCCTCGTCCTTCAGAAAACGAACCGTGGAAGCGGGGCTCACTGTGGAGACAGAGGAACAAAAGTCAAGGCGGGGAGACTGTGGCCCTTCTATAACGAAAACGCAGTAAAATTTTGCTTACATTACTTGGGAAACGGGTGATGATAATGGTGATAGATTGTCCTTTTAGAAAATTTCTTGTTTTCTGTCGTGGAAAACTGCAGTTCCGGCAGAATAATCTCTTCCACCGGGTATTACATGTGTGTCCCCATCCTACCCTCAGTTTCTCAGTAAGTAGTTGCTTTTCCTTGAATCTACTAATCCTGTCCGGTCTCTTAGATATTACAGCCATTGTATCTGGTATCTTTCCCTTTGACTATGTCGTTAGTTCATTCTAATTTTAGCCTTCCTAAGCACTGTATACCCTGTGGGCAATGTCTGGATGAACGTCTACGATATGATCTGGCATTTTGCATGCAGTATCCTATCGGTCTATACCTAGGACCTAAAGTCTCTGGGTTCCAGGATGTTTTGAGCACTCCTCTTACATAATCTGGGTTTTGTATTGCTCAAAATGGCTCACTTATTTTTGTCACTGAACACTCAGATGGTGGAATGTGTTCGTGACTATATCCTACTGTCTTCTCCATTTCTCCCAGATCGAAAACTGCACGGCAAGAGGTGATATTCCACAACAATTTGTAGATGCGGTGAGTTCACTTTTCGTGCCCTAGAAACTTCACAGCCAAGTCTAACCAGATGGCAACTGTCCAGCAAAAGTCCCTATGAGGATTCTCTTATTTCCGATTGTGATTTATCCGTTTTAACGCCGTACGCGTGAATTGTGACAGAACGCATGCCTAGCACAGGTTACCAGTTGAGTTAGTTCAATTCAGTTTATCAGCTATACCAGGGGTACTCTGTTTCCAGCTGCTGTAATTTCGGACGCCAGAAAATTGAAGGGACGCATGCTGTGTATTGGAAGCGATGGCATGATCAGTTAATCTCTGTTGTCCTTTTGCTCGGATCCATGACATCGTACAATGTACTCATCTGAAGTATGTCTCACTGTTTGTCCGCTTGCCCACTCAGAGGGGACTTCCGATTTTCACACCTAGGTCAAATTGTGTATAACTTCTATTGAAACACGTTATACCGTTATAGTGTACCAGGCTTAGACCAGCTAGGTTATTGCTGCGTAACTCTAGGAGCCAGTTGGCACTATAATTTTTCGCTATTTGGTCGGAATTCTGTGCACAACCTGCCTCGAAATGGCGGGCAATGATGGCAAGCCGGTATGTTGAGTGGGCTCCCTATTCGTCCGTGTTGCCCTACTATAAGGCCACTCTGAGAAATTTGCTGTTCTGCGGACTTATGAGCTTGTATAGGCGCGCCCTTTTTTCTTAACTCTCTCTGTAGCCATTCCCTTCCTAATAACACTCACGTTTTTTTGTAACTTGCTGGACGGTAGTAAAACTCTGTACCGGTCCCTTGGTTTCCTGCTCCTCCCACTATGACATATCAAAAGGCATGGTAGCTTTAGATAGCCCTTTATGGAGACAAAAAGAAAATTACTACAACTGTATTTATAGGGTAATCACAGAGTGTTCCACAAGGTCGTGCTAGAATTACCGTGAGGGGGCGAGGAGTGCCGAGTTAAAGATGCTCGATCCAGATTGGCTGGCATTCTGACCAATCAGAGCATGCCTTCGTTTGGTCCGTGTCCTGCACGTGACACATTCGTCCAAATGATTTGAGGTTGGGTTATTAGGGACGGCTGGCCTCCGTACACGTTTGCTGCGGGAACTAATATAATCAGAATAGTACAACTGCTACACAATTGGAAATGAACCTGGCTATTTTTTTATTAAATATGACCTCATAAAATAATCGTTCAGCTGTAACACGCTTTCGGTGCCTAGCTGCGATACCATTCGAAGGAAGCACAATGATTGGGATACTACCAGGTCGCCCAAGCCACGACAGGGGAAGTCGAGATGCAGAGGCCGGATTCGAACCACGGACCTTCTGTCCAGTTAATTCGTGCTCTGACCACTGAGTCATCTCGCCTCGGCTCATCCGCCTGAGCCTGAAGGTCAACCGATTTTCAAGTACAGTCCGAGGGCGGTGCGCATTAGTACAATAATAATAGTTAATGGTCGTTTAAATATAATGCCCTTTCAGTGACTAGCTGGTATGTCACCCGAAGAATGCTCCAGGGCCGGGATATTGTCAATTTACTCAAGTCCACTCACAGGAGCAGTAGAAATGCCACGGCTGGTTCCGAACCACGCTCCATCTAGTCACGCTGATTTATCTTGTATCCTACTTTTACACCGTAATGTGCAAGCACTCATGCGCGATGTGATCTCATTTTGGGTGGTGCGACAATTAAACGACCAGATCGATGTTTAAATCCACGTGAAAACACGCGGCGCATTGTGTGCATTTTTGACAAACGGTATAATTAGGTCCGATCGGAGTCGCTAGCAATTCCACTAAGCTCGGTTTTTGAACAGTCCACTTTTATTCAACCATGCTCCATATTTCATCATAACCATTTTCAGCTGTAATAACCGCGTACTCGTCGTACAGTGGTTTTAGCTGCCGCAGTTTCGTTCACCGACGTTTTTTGGGGGGGATAGGTACAGTGGGCTGTCAAGTGGGGGGTTGGTTGGAAAAGGAGCTATGCATTGAAGGCAATAGCTTGGATGCACG